TACTTGCCTCCCATTCAATTCATCCAAGAACTTAGCTTGACCATCATAACATTTCCACCTGTATTTCCTAGTGCTCTGTCCAAACGAAAAATTATATCATATATGCCCTAGCAAAAGAAACAAAATACGATTTTATGTTTACCACAAAAATAACCAACCTACTAGACCGTAGTTGGATTTAACACCATATTCGCACATGACTGGAGGTGCTTTGTAAATTAACCTTTCTTTCTTCTTTTCCTTTGCCTTTGATGGCTCCGGCCATTGATTCTTAGGACCATAGAGCCACTCATTGAAACGATACTTCGTAAATCCATAACGCTACAAGAAAATACATTAGTACACGCACACATATAGAGATAAACATTTAAACAAATACACTTTCCACTTACTTCGTGCTTGTTCGGACACACAAACTCCAACGTATTCTCAAGGTTTATCATTGCTCGATCTCCATATTCGCATAGAGGAGGTTCATCGAGTCGTCTAACTACGGCTAGGTGCTTCTCCTTAGCCGTCATTGGTGCGGGGTTAGGGGGGTGGAACCCACCGCTCGAAGTGCTCACGTGGATGTCTCCCTCTACACCAATCGTCGAAAAAGAGGTACCTAGGGTCAAACTTATCTGCACCGTCGATCCACTGAAAGAAAAGGCACCTCTCATGGGCCTACACAACAAGATTTCAATGAAATATTAGTAGCCTACTTACACAAATGAAGAAAAAAAGATAGTGAAAATAATTACTTACATAGAAATGACTGCATGTGTAGAAGCCACGCGACGCTGTGTCTGGACGTCTCGATTGAAACACGTCGGTCGGGAAACCACAGTCACAGTTAGAGACAGGGAGGTCAGGAGGGACGGGAGCATCTTTGCTAGACGCGTCGGGGTATAATTCTCTAGGACGACCCCGTTTTCGCCAAAACTTCTCCCGATACATGTCTTGCATCTAACAAAACAGTTGTAATTTAACAAACAAAAATTAAAACATCACAAATTAATGTCAATGAGAACCATTTGCATTACAACAAATAAAATATAACATATAATTTGGTGCAAACTCTATCTTAGATGTAAACATGCAAACTATATAAAAACTATACTTAACCTTAACATTGGCAATCATAATCCTAATCCTTCGATCCAATGTTCTAACGAACTCATATTTTTCTCCATACCCTAACTACTCATTCAAATCATTCGATCCACCGTGGAGGCTGAGGAGGAGCTTCATTACCTTGACAAAGCCGAGGAGGAGCTTCGGGGGAGGGGGTCGGCAAGGGAGGGAAAGTCAATGGCCGGCCATGGGGGAGCTAGGAGGCAATGGCGCGGGCGCCGCGAGCGACCTCACCTCGAGTCGTGCAGACAGACAGAGGGAGGGAGCCAGCGCCGCAACGGGTAAGTAAAGCCTCGTCGCGCTATCATGCACGGCGCGTCGGCCCCGCCACGTCAGCGGTCGCCGCGGCCGTTGACCACCCCATGTCGCGTCGCCATGCATGGCGCAGCAGCGTGAATTTGCCGTGCCATACAAACAGGCGCGTCAAAAAGTGTTACTTTTTGAAGAAAAAAAAGTGTTAAAATTAAAAATAGTTAAAAAAAGTGTTAAAAATATAAAAAAAAATCGCCCCTGCTCACCGCATCGCTCCACAGTCCGCAGTCCGCAACCCTGCCCCTGCTCACCGCTCGGCCGCTCCCTCTCCTAGCTGCCCGCTCCCAGGTCCCAGCGCTTGGCCGATCGGCAGGCAGCCAGCAGCCGCGGCCTGCGGGAGAGTGGAGACGGTAGCAGAAGGTGGCGCCGACGTAGTTCGAGGTCGTTCAACTGAGGGAGAGCAGCAGCAGCAGGCAGCGCCGGCGTACGTCGAAGGACACTCCATGGAGGGAGAGTGGTAGCGGTAGGCGGCGCCGGGGGGGCCGGTGAAGTGCTGCGGTTGAGCGCCGCCGCCACCCGCTGGTGAGGTGGCCGGAGGCGGCTTGGCGCTGCTGCGGGGCGACGTTGCGGCGGCCGGAGGGCGCAGGCGGGGAGGTGTTCCGGCGGGGTCGCGTCGCAGCCAGCAGGCAGTAGCAGCCGCGGCTCAGCGCCAGGCCGGCTGCGCCCGGCGGCCAGCGCGCGGTGAAGCCTCCTTGTGTTTATCCCAGAGTCTACCAGACCGTGGTGAAGCCTCTCCTCCAAAATTACCGCTCGACCGCGGTGAAAGCTCCGCCGAAAATTCCCGCCCGTCCGTGGTGAAGCCTATCCGAAATCACGGTGCCTCCCTGTTCCACCTTCCACCCGCCGCCGCCGCCGCTCCACCCGGCCGGCGCTGCCGGACGCCTTCCTCAAGATCCCATCCCGAGCCGCGCCTTTTCCGAGTTCGGAATCAATCCGCTCGGCCTCGCTCGCGACTTCCCGCGCCGCGCGACTCCGCTGGGCGCTGCCGCTCGCCGCTCGCTGCTCGGCCGCTCCCGGCTTGCCCCCCCTGCTCGCGAGCGCCCAGCCCCGGCGGCGGCGGCGCGACGCCCAGCCCTTTAGCGGGCACGCCCCGGCCCCGGCGCCCCGTCCGCGGCGCGGCGGCAGCCAGCCCCATCCCCGCCCCGAGCACCGCGTCTAGGCCGGCCACAGCAGCAGCATCCTCCTCGCCTGCTCCCTCGCCCTTCCATTAGCCGCCGCCGCCACGGACGCGAGGAACGAGGACGCGCCGGCTCCTCCTCGCCTGCTCCAGCGCCATTCTGTTTTGCCCCGCCGCCGCTGCGGACGCGAGGAGCGACGATGCCTCGGCGCCCGCCTGTCCGCCGCCTCCACTTCGCAGGCGCCTCTGGTAAGCTCGTCGAGGTCCATTGTTCCTGATGAAGTGTGCTTTGCCCTTTTGTTCTTTTGCGTTTTGTTCTGTTTCTGAGTTTCCATGCTGCATGACTGGTACTGCATCAATCGTCCATGGTTGCCATCTTTGATACCCTGATGTCACTGAAGTTTCCATTTAATTTTTAAAGAACACATACCAATGATTGCCAGCAAGCATTGCATAATGCAGACTGAGTTAAAATGCATCAGTCTAGAAAAAAAAATGCTTGCATCAATATCAGTTAAGGTCACGTGAGGTATGGAGTGTTGTTCTGAGAAAATTCTATAAAGCAAAACCAAAGAACTGATGTGTGTTTGTCAGGAATATAACGAAAGAGTGAAAGCATCTCCCAGGCTCTATAACGAAAGGGGCTTATATGGCCATCGCAGTTTAGTAAATCAACTTCTTCAGAATTTGTCAGGAATACTGAAAACTGTCCATCATATTGCTCTATTGCCCCTTTCACTCCCATGGATGGATGGAACAAGAGAGAGTGCCAATTTTAAGATGGCAGGCAACTGAAGTTAAGATGGCATGTAATTTGCAGTTACCACACTATCAGTGCTGCGCCCCTGAACCTGATAGTGTCCTAACAGGGGCGGCTATCAGGGGCAGGACTTCTTTTGGCGAAAAGTTGTCCCTATGACCACTGACTAGGCAAAGGACCATTTCTGTCTGATCTTGAGGCCCTTTCCCCTGATGAACTGTCGCTTAAGAATCTGAACCTTAGTGCCCAGGAAGATGAAAATGCCTGGTCAGTGCCAATTCTACATCCATAATTGATTAGAAGTGGTTTAATGCCATTTTGGGCTGGCCCTGCCTCAAAAGTTTTAATCTTAAATTATGCACAAACTTATAAATTAGGAGTGACCTGTCCAAACTTATAAATTAGCACAGTTATTGAATTTGTGGACAATGGGTGTAATACAATAACCATTATATGTATCGTGGCAATAATCATTAAATTTAGTTCTTCTATTTTTTTTTTCTCAAGGGGACCTGTTTGCTGTTTTGTTAAGAATCCAGAACTGACAGTCATTTGGTGGTAACATCGGGACAGTGCTGCTCATGTATTTATACTGAAAATTGTTCCTTCTGATGTCTCTCTGATAGGAGGGAAAATGGTTGGGAGGAGGACTGCAGACTTCACCTGAAAAATTCTGTATTGGCAGGCTTAATGTAGGCATAGCATTCTTCAGGTCTAGGAATGCCACCAACCTATCATTGAGCAAAAAAAAAAAAAAAAAAAAAAAAGAAGCAGACCCTATAAGTAAGAGACTGTATGGTGTAAGTAATTTACGCTTGGCTGTATAGCACAGCATGCCTCATGTAATTTAGATTTGGCAATGGACCGTGAATCTTTTGCCCTTTTTTTTTAACATTACAGTATGCCTCCTGTAATTAGTCGAGCCAGAACAAATAATGTTTCTTTTTGATTAACTGATGCAAAAGGACATTCCAAATTCCATCTTACCCAACAATGTGGTTTTCTGATAATCCAATGATACTACAGATGCTGATGTGATACTCTGATGGAATCCTATTTTTTTATTATCTTTGATAGTTCTGTTTTTTTTTTGAAAAAAGTGTTGTTCAGAGAAACTGTTGTGTTTTTATTAATCCTGTCTGATGGAATATTTATTAGAAATTTGTATCTGGTTACACGTCATTTGACCTCGTGGTGTTCATATAACAGGTTTGTGATTGTAAAAACCTGTAAAGGGATCGAGCAGAGAGAAGATCAAGTCAGGCCATCCAGCATTGGCCAACAACGAGGTGCTGACCAAAGAAACACTTAAGGAGATTTCTCAGTACATTGGACTGTAGATAACTAATGTTTATTCCAGTCATGTTTTAAAGATATCCAGATTAGAGAGCACTGATATGCTACACAAAACCTGCTTCATAAGTCTATGTGACGTGGTTATGTTCATATAAATAGAATTTCTTATTTAGTGTATACATAGTTGCTGAAAAAGGCTGGATATCTTTCATCATGTTGGTCAATGATTCCTGACAATCCTAGCCATCTCAACAGCCATCCTGACTTATCTTTTTAGTCTCAATTTGCACCAGTGCATAGAAAAACAATATGAGGTCAACTAGAACCATTGGTTTAACGGTTCATGTTATTTGCTCTACTTGTTCATCTAACTGATAGAGATCCTACAATCATGTGTCCATGGATTACTTTGTCCTTCAGTACTTAGTTGTTACAACCTGGCCATGTCTCTTCCTATTACAGATTAATACAGTGCAAAATAGTGGTTCTCGAGCGCCATTGGGAGACAAGACTAACACAACTAAAGAAGGTTACAGAATGCAACATGCTATCGAATATTCCATTGTGTTTCCTATGTATATGTTATATCGATTTTTTTTAAAACTATCACCAGTTGATGCTAAAGACCACAAGAGGGAAAAGGATAGAGCTCGATGGCATGCAATGTCCCAAGAACAGAGGGATGAAAAAAAAAGAGGCGACGTGAGTCATATCATAATAAAAAAAATAAGCATCAAGTCACCGAAGCTACCAATAAAAAAAAATAAGCACTTATTTTGACATTGTTACTAAATTTGACGCTTATTTATTTGAATGTGGCTCGAAACAGTATGTTGCTAAGCCAAGTTAAATTTTATTTGTCTTCATTTCCCTGGCGCAGATCGAGGCCAGGGAAGGGAAGCCGCAAGGATGGGAGCAGGAGGCACGGCCGTCGCCGGCCGGCGAGATGCAGCTTCCGGAGAGTAGTGAGTGCGAGGGGAACGGGAACGGGAATGACGGCGACGCTTGCTGGGCTGTTTCAGTGGGCCGACAAACTGTTACTCTTAATGGTCCAAATGCCCTGTTCTTCTTGTTTGAGCCGGATACTCAAGGTTTCTTCAATGGCGGAGAAAGAAAGCCCATAGGGCTGGCAGTGTAAGGTCCAGTTCGAAGTTTGGTGCTTGAAATAATGGACACTGGAAACAAGAAACTAGGAACCTGAAAAAATTGGCATATATATATATATATATATATTTTTCGTACCAAAGGGGTATTATTATTCCAAGCATTTAGCTGCATCAGAGCATCAGAAAATTAATTTAATGATGCTGTACGGATTGGATATGGCACATCATCATATGATAAAGTACCTTATTATCTCTACAAGTCGTGCATCTGCAGGTACGGTACAGTAACTAGTTAGCTACTGCTGGAGTGCTGGTGCTAATATACGTTCACCGTCCTAGAAAGGATGTAATTTTTAGTATTATTAAAAATGCTAGAATATTTAAGTTTAATCAAATTTGTATCAAGATATTTAATATTCATTTATTATACTAAATATATGTGCCATTAGCAGATTCATTATAAAGCATGTTTTCATAATATATATTTGTTGGATGGAAGTCATAGCTAAATCTGAGATAATTTGGGTCACACCAAACATAGAATTGCATGTTTGTTTGCAGATGTGCGTGTGTGCAGTGCAGTCGTGGATTGGCACTTGGCAGCAGTCAGCAAGCGGCCATGTCCTCGTGTACCCTCTGCAGTACAATACGAATTGAAGCTACTTATTAGCAGCCATGCAACTAATCCTCTCAACTGAAGATCAGATCGTATTGCTGCTGAAAATCTCAAGCCGTACGAACTACCAAATTAAATCAAATATACATATATCAGGCCTGTCCGGCTCCGTCTCTTGATTCGCAAAAGGCGTGTTTGGATAATTGGGTGATCTGCTCCGTCAAAGTTTGCACGCGCTGAGACGAACGTATCATTAAAGCCACACGTTAGTCGATCTTACAGTTACAGGCTAGACATATTATACTCCCGGATATAAGGATCTGCACGAATTTTAATATTCAAACTTTGTTATCTTTGACTAACAATTAGCCTAATTATATCAAAAGTTTATATTACAAAAACAGTTACATTAGATTTTGTATTTAGAAAAAAAATACTTTTTAATGATCAAACTTAATTTTGTTCCTATAAATTATATATTACAAGAGAAATAGATCGAAATATGTTCTTTAAGACCGCATCAAGTTAAATCGCGTCTTATATTCGGGGACGGAGAGAGTATCCGCTAATGCAAATTACCGGACAACATCTCATTACTAATTTTTCTTATATCTACTCATAGGACCTCACCCAAAACTCTTTTTTTTTTAGAATTTGCAGCCCCTCATCCTGCTTCCCCACCCAAAACGTCTATATGAAACATCGATCGAGCAACCAAATACACCCAAAACGTCTCTCAGAGCTAGTGAAGTCATTTCTCTTTGTTTTTTTTTCCAAACATGTAGAAAGAGCTACATGTAGAAAGAGCTACGCTGCACATCATTCATTAATCTCTAATATAAATTCTGCTACAAAAAAGCCTAGCTCCCAGACGGACTCATAGTCTCCTTTTTCTTATATATATATATATATATATATATATATATATATATATATATATATATATATATATATATATATATATATATATATATATATATATATATATATACAAAAATAAACAAATAATAAAGGGCTTAAAAGAAATCTGTCTTATCTAATCCCTGATGGATATGATCTCGGTCCGTGTGTGTGTGTTATATTTAATCCTGCTTGATTACAATCCGATTCTCTCTAATAATGTGGAGTGTGGAACAAATCACACGGATCGCTCCACCACCGACTCCAAATCCACAACAATAATTCATTATCTCTATTTAGAAAATAATAGTAAAAGTAATGAAATCCAACATAGTTTGAACAACAATACCCACCAAAACCATTTGTTGCATATGCCTCTCCATCTTCTTCATATTTTAGTTATTCTGTTATATATATTTGTGCCCCGTACGTGCTGTTTACGCTGCATGTCACCGACAAAAAAAATTATTTGGCTGCTAGCTTAGTTACTATGCTAGTTTTTTAGAAAGGCAGCAAAAACTTTGCCGAATTTTTATTAGCTAGACGAGGAAAAAAGAAATAAAACAATATTTACAAAAAGTTTTTTTTTTGAGTCGAAACTCCAAACCACCGAGGCGCACAGGCCAGACACTACTAAGCTAGTGAGCTATATAAATTATAGGAACAAAATATACCTATTTAGGGATAGTCAAATCGCGAATATAAGACGCGATTTGACTTGATGCGGTCTTAAAGAACATATTTCGATCTATTTCTCTTGTAATATATAATTTATAGGAACAAAATTAAGTTTGATCATTAAAAAGTATTTTTTTTCTAAATACAAAATCTAATGTAACTGTTTTTGTAATATAAACTTTTGATATAATTAGGCTAATTGTTAGTCAAAGATAACAAAGTTTGAATATTAAAATTCGTCCCCGAATATAAGACACATATATGACATAAAACAACTGTTCTTATAAGTCACCCCTAAAAATAAACCTATTTTAGGGGCACATATATGACATAAAACAACTGTTCTTATAAGTCACATTTTTAGGGATAGTCTCTTATGTGGACCGTCCCTAAAAATAGGTGGATTTAAGTCAACTACCCATGAAAAATGGGAACTACCCTAAAAGTTATCACGAAGCAAATAAATTCATAACATCTTCAAATGAAGTCAAATAAAAACAAATTTTATATCAAAATTTTATAGCTCAACAACATATATAACTTTACAACTAATGACTTCTTTATTTGAGGTTAATATCTCAAATATATGTTTGAAGTTCTCAAAATATGAAATCCAAACTTTTAAACTTTTCAAACGACCTTAGATAAAATTCTACCTATACCAAAGTTGTAACACTCGAAGAGATCTAGAAATTTGTAGTTGATTTTTTTTATTTGAGATCGTTTAGGGGGCAAAATATTGACTACAAGATTTATAAAATTTAATGCAAATTGCTAGCGCCGTATGCTTCTTCACCGAGACCAGCATGTGTTGGCCGTAGGGGGGCTTTGCGTGTGGTAAGAGGTCACATATTTGAATCCTTGAGAATGTAGTGTGCAGAATTTTCACGAAAAATGTGAAACTTATGACACACAACCTTGTATGCATTTTCTATAAGCTTGGTCAATTCTATGATAATTTGACTTGGGCAAATTTATAGGCCCTTATATTTCTTACAAAATATAAGAGGCTTAAAAAATGATGCAGCTAGACACAACCAGAATGCTTGTAGTATATATGAAGTGAAGTTTTGCAAATTATTTTCGCATGCATTACACAATTGGGTTGAGAGATATTGAGGGTAGAAAATTAGTTCATTTCCCACTTCAGTCCCTCCCAAACCACTGATTGGAGTGCAGCTAAACAAATCCAAAGATAATTTACCATGCTACTAGCATGACTTAGGTACCAAAAGTTAAGGAAATTAACTATTATCAGTAGTTCCAATGCATAAGGTGTCAGATTGTACTTTAATTACTCTTTACTGCCAAACGGGGCCTAACTACTGGGCAGGCGATGCATAATCAACTCCAAACGCTACTTTTGAGTCACAGCTTTGTCCCGAGATTATTGGCTCGAGGTCATCATCTACGCAGACGCAGCACGCACGCCATCCCCTGCAACGTTAACCTCCTGTGCAGTTTGCGGCTGACGCTGATTGGCAATTTATATTAATCGTCTTGCATGATGGATCGATGACAGTAGAGCTAGCTAGCTTCTCGTCGTCGATCATTCTCTACTTTTAAAACATAGGAACGGATCGATTCTCCATGATACGCTGACGATGGATTATGCATGCAAAGGACGACCCGACGGACCGGCCTGATGATGATGATGATTCCTATTTATTTACTTATATATTTTTATTTATATATAATTTAATTAACACCTTATTGGATCACAACCAGACCGGCGGGATATATGCATGATCTCCGCATCGGTACTGTTGATGATTATACTTGACAAGACATAGGCCATGTTTGGTTCAGCCCTCGTCTGAGTCTCGCTTATAAGCTAAATAGGATTATCTGATAAGCCGCGATACGTAAAATCTAAGCTGAGCGTTTGGCTGGCTCGATTATTTTGGGATGGACATTTTGCACTATGAACCCTAACTTTTCTCAAACTACGTAGCACTGTTTACTACTATTCCTGTGAGTCTATAGCCTTACAACTGGACCCAAATAAAAGTTTCTATTTACATCCAGGTCCTTCTTCGTGGGGGAGAAGCTACGGCTACGGGCCCCGAGGGGGAGGAGCTCTAGGCGAGGAGGAGCTCCGGCGGTCGGCGGAGCTGCGGGCGGTAGGCGGAGAAGCGAGCGGGCGGATTCGTCAGCGGAGCTACGGGCGGGCAGACTCTCCCCAGCGACAACGCGCGTCCACACCCTCCCTCTCCCCCAGCGCTGCCTCCTACAATCGCGTCCCTCTCTCTCCCCCACAGCGGCGGCAGCAGCGTGGATCTTGCTGGTGGTGCGAGCTCGGCGGCCTCGTGGGCACAGCCCGGATCCGGCTCCCTCTCCTCTCCGATGCTCAGATCCGGGCGGCGCGGTGGATCCGGATTGGGGCGAGGCTTCGGCGGTGGGGACTCTCTCTCTCCTGCCTTCAACGCCGGCGACGCCCTCTCCTCCTCCCTTTCTGGCGCCGACGGATTTACGGGCGTGCGGAGCTGCGAGCAGGCGGATCCGGCGTGGCAGCCCCACGAGAAAACAACAGGAGGGAGAGCGAGCGCTCGGGAACGCGGCTCGCGTTTTCCAAATCGCAGCCCGTGGGTCGCGTTTCCAATCGCCGTTGCGGGGAGGAAATCGAACGCGAACGCCGCGTTTGCGATGGAGACCGTCGCGAGCCATTTGGCGGGATTATCCTGCTTCTCCCGTCGCGAACGCGCGTATGAGCGGAACCAAACAGGGCCATAATCAATGTATATAATCTACTACTTGATGCCTTTTTCAGTATTAAGAAATTATTTGTTTTGTGAAATGGATAACCAAATTAATTGGCCTCGGCCCATGCTATCTTTT